AGAGGGTCATGTGCAGCTCTCCACTGCAGGGCTGAGGCAGAGGGTCATGTGCAATAACCTGCGATGAAAAGTCCGAGTTTCCGATTGGTTACACAATCCTCTGCATGGAGTTCAGAGAGGAAGCAAAGACGTCTCAGTTGCTGGTAAAATACAGGTGAGAGATAACATCTTTCCAATCCACTGGATCTGTTGCTAGGTGAGAAGAGAGCAAGGGTAGAGGATGCTGGGAAGTCCCTGTCTGGGCCCCTATAGGAGTGGCCTTATGCACCTTTGGCAGACATAGGTAGAGAAGAAGGAGGTTTGTGGAGCATTTTCAGGTCAGCTTTGATCTGAGTTAAAGTGGGCAGTCATCATACACTAGACGGGAGTGGAGTGGCCAGCGGGATTCTGCAGGCTGTTGGTTCAGATGGAGGAAGGGGTTGGAGACATGAAGGTCAGGTGCAGAACTGGAAGGGCTGTGGACACAGGAATGCCCTAAACTGAATTCTTTGGGGACTGCAGTAACAAGAGGTCTGACCCAAGGTGGAAGAGCCTAGAACCGAAGGTGGAAGAGCCTGGAACCGAAGGGCCTGCTTCTTTGAAGAATGTAGCGGTGTTGAACAATGGCCACCACAGCAGTTCAAGGAGTGAGCGAGCCCCGGAGCCTCCTGTGTGGAAAGGAGCGAAGGAGGTCAGAGGAGCCACCGACGTGACTGAAGAAGGTCCCCTGACCTCCACAGAGCCCTATCGTGTGGAGGGTGGAGTGTTCGCACTGGCTACTGCACCCTTTCCCACTTGCTTTGAGGAAATGCTCTTTCTCCTTGGCTCCGCACCAAGAACATCTATAGTGAGGATTCTTTTTGCTTGACAAGGTCATTTATCTCGGTGTCAAAGCTGCACCAGTTGGAAGACATTTGCCCAGTTGCCTCTGATGTACTAGGATCAGTGGGGGCAGGGAAGAATGTTCCAGGCTTTAGGTGCAGTTCAACAGGGCAGGGGAGAACATTCCAGACCTGAGGTGCAGCATGTATTAGCTGTAGACACAGGAATGAGGGGCTTTGGTGGCACAGAAATTAAGTGCTACCTGAGGGCAGAAGGGAACCAGCACCCAGAACCCAAGTCTGCTGCATCCAGTGCCCTTTGAAGAGCCGTTCAGCATCACCTTAAGCCATACCTGAGGCCTATGCCCACTCTGTTTGCCTTACCTGGATATTCCGGCTTCTAAATGCAATCCTGTTATGTAGTGGAACCCTTCATGGGGGTGCAGGTGACCCGTAGTCAGGGCTATCTGTCTGTCTATCAATTTACCTACCTACCTACCTACCTACCTACCTACCTACCTACCTACCTACCTATCTACCTATCTGTCTGTCTGTCTGTCTGTCCGTCCGACTGTCTGTCTATATATGTCTATCTGTCTATCTGTCTGTCTGTCTATCTATCTATCTATCTATCTATCTATCTATCTATCTATCTATCTATCTATCTCCACCCATGGCAAGAGATGGGAGGCGCCCTTGAAGACCTTGGGTCTGGCCCCTTCTGCACTGGGTGGATCCCTTGTAGGTACTGGCCTCTGTGTGAGGGAATAAAAGGGAGAAGAGATGGGGGAATGAGGAGGAGAAGGCAGCAGCAGAGGTAGCATGCTCTCACTGCCTGGTTGCACACGCCATGCTAATGGACATGGATCACACTGCTGAGATACTGCACCTCCCCCCGGGTCCGCAGAAGAGCCTATGTGTGGTCACAGGGGAGTATGGAGTCCAGAGGGTACCAAATGTCTTCTCCCCCTCCCTCCTTCCTTCTTCTCCCTTCCTTCCTTCCTTCCTTCCTTCCTTCCTTCCTTCCTTCCT